CATGCTGGGTTGTTACTCTGCTTGGTTTTGTAATTTTTGGGTATAAACTGCATCTATATATTGTGTTAATAAACTCCTCAGTTCCTGTGTGCTTGTTAGGATTTAACAAATCTATATTGAAGTCACCACATATGAACATTAATTTATGACTTATTGTCAAGTAATTTTCTTCCATCCAGTCATTCAATTTTTCTATTCTGGCTCCAGGTGCTCTATAAATACAGCTTATTACAACATTCTTCTATTTTTCCACGAGTATTTCTACAGTCACACACTCCAGCAAATTATCCACCACCCTTGACATTTTCTCCACTTTCTTATAACAAACGTTTTTATCTATGTACAAGGCCACACCACCTCCCATCTTATTCTCTCTGTTTGTGCATACCAAGTCATAGCCATCAAGGTCAAAATCCATTCCCCTTACATTATTCATCCAAGTTTCAGAAACAGCAATTATATTAAAAGAATGTGTAAGACTACTAAGATAATGTTTTATACTCTGAAAGTTTGCGTATAAACTTCTGCCGTTGAAGTGAATTAATGATAATTTTTCAGTCTTGACATTGCAGTTAAACTGCTCATCCGTGTAATACTTGCAGTTATTTTCAAAGTTCTTAAAAAAGTTTTTTTCAGGGTCAAAGTCATCGTCCGATTCATGATAATGTTGTTCAGTGTCTCCAATTGTGTTCAGTTCCAGATCCAATCCCTCATAAACTATTAACCTCTGTAGCCAATCACTTGCCTCATTCCGTACGTGGGTCATACTTGTTGTTGGTTCCTGCTAATTGTTGGTTCCAACGCTCATCTGCCCTCGCAGATATCAATATACCTGCGTGTTTCTTCATACAGCTGAGGGTCCAGCGACCCCTTCATACTCTCCTTGTCTCGGCATACTGGTCCTCGGCGTGCTGGTCATGGGTCCTGGATTCTGGTTCCGAGGTCGGGTCACTAGTCGGTTATACCGCAGGAACGCGATGTCTCCCCTCACCCTGGCCTCCCTTAACATCGGCATCAACTCCCTTCTTCTCTTCCTCACAGACTCGGTGTAATCTTCATTTATATAAATATTAGATCCTTTAAGCTTCTTTGCTTGTTGCAGTATGTGTGCCTTATCCTTCTCTTTCATCAACTTTACCATCACCGCCCTTGGTCCCCGATCAGAAGGTTTCCCGACTCTGTGAGCCCGCTCCATCTCAATTTCTTGATGAATTTGCAGTTTCTCCTTTAATATTTCCTTCACCGTACATTCCGCTTCCGTCCAGCTTTCTCCAGCTGACTTCTTGATCCCCTCAAAGATCAAGTTTTTTTTGCTTTGACTGTACTTCCAAATGCTCCATTTTATCCGTTATGACTATTAAAATCTCACAAGTTTTGTAGACAACATCACTTGTTTCCTTGGTTTGTATTTTCAAGACAGGGTTGTATCAAGGCACAGATCTGGAGAAGGGTACAGAAAAATTTCTGCAGCATTGAAGGTCCCAATGAGCACAGTGGCCTCCATCATCCGTAAATGGAAGAAGTTTGGAACCACCAGGGCTCTTCCTAGAGCGGGTTGCCCGGCCAAACTTGAACGATCGAGAGAGAAGGGCCTTTGTCAGGAGGTGACCAAGAACTTGATGGTCACTTTGAAAGAGCTCCAGCATTTCTCTGTGGAGAGAGGAGAAACTTCCAGAAGAACAACCATCTCTGCAGCACTCCACCAATCAGGCCTGTATGGTAAAGTGGCCAGACGGAAACCACTCCTCAATAAGAGGCACATGGCAGCCTGCCTGGAGTTTGCCAAAAGGCACCTGAAGGACTCTGACCATGACTGGTCTGATGAAACAAAATATTGAACTCGTGTCTGGAGGAAACCAGGCACCGCTCGCCACTTGGCCAATACCATCCCTGCAGTGAAGCATGGTGGTGGCAGCATCATGCTGTGGGGATGTTTTTCAGCAGCAGGAACTGGGAGACTAGTCAGGATTGAGGGAACAATGACTGCAGCAATGTACAGAGACAACCTTAATGAAAACCTGTTCCAGAGCACTCTGGACCTCAGACTGGGGCAATGGTTCATCTTTCAACAGGACAATGACCCTAAGCACACAGCCAAGATAACAAAGGAGTGGCTACAGGACAACTCTGTGAATGTCTTTGAGTGGCCCAGCCAGAGCCCAGACTTGAACCCAATTGAACATCTCTGGAGAGATCTGAAAATGGCTGTGCACCAATGCTCCCCATTCCAACCTGATGGAGCTTGAGAGGTACTGCAAAGAAGAATGGGAGAAACTGCCCAAAAATAGGTGTGCCAAGCTTGTAGCATCATACTCAAAAAGACTTGAGGCTATAATTGGTGCTAAAGGTGCTTCAACAAAGTATTGAGCAAAGGCTGTGAATATTTATGTGCATGTGATTTTATTCTTTTTTTATTTTTAATAAATTTGCAAAGATTTCAAACAAACTTTTTTCACATTGTCATTATGGGGTGTTTGTAGAATTTTGAGGACAATAATGAATTTAATTCATTTTGGAATAAGACTAACTTAACAAAATGTGGAACAAGATAAGTGCTGTGAATATTTTCTGGATGCACTGTATATTATGGTGTTAACCAGTCGTCCCTCACTTGTCTCCAGATGGTTCAAAACGCTGCTGCTCGTCTTTTGACAAGTGCTAGAAAATTCGAGCATATAACCCCGGTATTGGCTTCCAGTCCATTTTAGAATCGATTTTAAGCTGCTGATTTTCATTTTTAAGGCTCTTAATGGTTTCATCTTACCTTACCGAATTAGTGCATTGGCCCAAACCTACAAGGTCCCTCAGGCAAGCCAGTTTCTTGTAGAGGTTCCTAGGGCCAGATATAAGGGTGACCGTGCTTTTACTGTTGCAGATCCTAAATTGTGGAATAGTTTACCTCTTAATGTTCAATCAGCTACTGACCTGACTACTTTTAAATCATTGCTTAAAACATATTTATTTGCCATGGCTTATAATACACAGTAGGGCCTGATGCATTCCTTTTAATTTTAATTTATTGAATGTGTGTCTGAGTTATTGTGCTGTGTGTTTTATTTTTTGCACTGATCTTATTTATTCTATTTTAGTCATTTATTCTGATTTTATTCTGCCATGTAAAGTACTTTGGTCAACTGGATGTTGTTTTTAAAGTGCTATATAAATAAATTTGATTTGATTTGAACAAACTTGTTTCCTCTCTCCAAACAGAAAGCTCGACTGCCTGTGCCCACCCCAACTCCCGCTTCTGTGCTCCAGCGGCTCAGTGTCCCATCATTGACCCCCAGTGGGAGAGTGAGCACGGGGTTCCCATTGATGCCATCATCTTTGGTGGCAGGAGGCCAGAAGGTAGGTGGTGCTGTCAGGTATTTAGAATGAATAGGTGTTGTAATAGACCCAGGAATACACACTGCACGGGACACCCTGCATCACACAATACAATTTTGTTGTCTTTTCCTTAACTGATTTACAGAATTGACAGGTCAAGCAAAGTTTAGAACACTCAGGTAGCTAGCTGCCTTAAAATGACAAAGTGTTAATGTTCTCAGGTATTCCTCTGGTGTTCGAATCGTTCAGCTGGCAACATGGAGTCTTTGTTGGCGCTGCAATGCGGTCTGAGGCCACTGCAGCTGCTGAGCATAAAGGTATGGACTTACACATGTCTGACTTTCATATGATCTAAATGTTTGTACATTTGAAAATGTATGTCCTTTGCAAAGGCCATTAGCTGAGAAGATGTAAGATAATGAGATGAATGACATTTCTGTGACTGCAACTAGTATCAGTATTCTAAAGCTGATTTCAATGTCAGAATCTCAAATGCGTTTCATTTTAATGGTTTCCTTCAGGTAAGGTGGTCATGCATGACCCTTTTGCCATGCGGCCTTTCTTTGGCTACAACTTTGGCGACTACCTCAGCCACTGGTTGAGCATGGAGAGCCGCAAGGCTCCCACTCTTTTGCCCAAGATCTTTCACGTCAACTGGTTCAGAAAGGATGCTGCCACTGGCACCTTCCTCTGGCCTGGCTTTGGTGAAAATGTTCGCGCTTTGGAGTGGATCTTCAAGCGATGTGGCCGGGAGAGGGAGGACGAGGGTGCCAGGAAGAGCATTATCGGCTGGCTGCCAGAAGATGGTGCCATCAACACTAAAGGTCTAGGCAGCAAGGTGGATATGGGCGCCCTCTTTGATGTGCCCAAGCCCTTTTGGCAAAAGGAGACTAAGGAGCTGAGAGCCTATTTCACCCAGCAAGTTGGAGCTGATTTGCCGGCTCAGGTGGATGCTGAGCTGAAGGCACTGGAGGACAGAGTGCGCAACTGAAACCCTAGCGGGGTTCAGGAGAGATCAGATTATGATGTGATGTTAGAGTTTCTGACTGGGTTTACATACACAGGGAACCAAATTCTAAACCAGGCAAACTAAAAACCTAGTTCTGGTTTTATACATGTAAAATTAAATACTAGGATGATCTGGTACCGACAGCTAACTGAATTAGTCATTACATGGGTTACATCTTAAACTTTTTTTTCTCAGGTTTTCATGGCACGGAATAAAGAAATATTTGAATGACAAACACATGGTAGAATTTTGGCAGTGTTGGCAAACCACTCTGTATGTGGAAAGTATTGAAAGGGTGGAAATCTAAAGCTTTACTAATACCATGCTGGTATTTAAATTTCTCTGTGCATGTCAGTCACTCTAAACTCTGTCTTTCATGAAGAAAAAACTGTTAGGAATGATGGAATCGGAGGAGAGACTAATAATCTACAATGCAACGCCCACATTTTGGACACTACTTCATACCAATGCAATGATAGGTGCTGGGTTGGTGGTGGATTGGAAGTTTGATTCTTAACATGAAGATTAGATTTCTGTGATCAGATGTTATGGTACATGCGTGCAATCAACGTGTTCTGAGACATTTAACAATACAGTGTCAAGGCTGCTAACGTTTACAGACTGAAGCCCAAAGAGTTCTTTATGCAAAAGTGAGAACATTTTTACTTATAAAATGCAATTTTAGCAACACTTGTTTCATCACACTATTGAGTGAGCCTGTTGAAATGCTCTTTACTTTATATCGAGCTTTTAAATAGGGCTGAAAAACGCTTTTATCAGTAACCTGTTAATACCAATTAAGAGATTTCCAGCAGGGCAAATGATTAGTAGCATAATTAATCTCACCACACTTGTGATTAAACTGTATGATTTTTAGGGGATATTTACACACATGTGAAATGTTGGACTATTGGACTAATAAATGTGACTGAGATTGTGACCTATTTTTATAAATTATATGCCAAGATTTTTATTACACTCTTCATGAAGCACAGATGTCTCTTGTTCAAATTTTTGCAGTAACTGAAAATAAATGAAGGTAATGTAAGAAAGAACAATGGTGGACTTGTGTTTACATAGCGTTTTTTTTACCATGACACTTCAAAATGGTATGATTTGCTCTACTCGCACATTTACCACTTAAACATACCAGCGGTGTGCAGAGCAGCCACTGAGTGTCTTGCCCAAGCATAAGAGAAAATTCGAATTAAAATACAGTCTTAAAAACTATGCAAGAAAGTAGTAGAGTACAGCTTCTGCCACTCAAGGTAAGAATGGATTGGCTTATGATATTTTGACTGCCCCATTTTTGCACCTGCGGGGCTGAACATGGTTTTTATTCATCTAGATTTTTTGGATATAAATAGCCTCGATAGGATTTAGGAAACATCACAGCACTGAGATAGGATTGATAAAGGTGGTAAATGAAACTCGATTAAACACCGATTCTGGTAAAGCAACAGTCTTTGTTTTATTTGATCTGGGTGCTCTTTTTGAGACTATAGTCCATGATGTTCTCCTGGACAGACTGCAAATCGGGTGGGCCCATCTGGAACTGTGCTAAATTGGTTCAAATTATATCTTCAGGACAGGAATTACTTTCTCTGTTGGTGTGTATAAATCTGAGCAAATTGCTGCACCATACATGGTCCCTCAAAGTTCTTGGACCTTTATTGTTTAACCTGTACATGCTGTCTCTCCATCAGTGCTTAGACCCAAAAAATACTTAGATGAAAACAAACTTCCTCCAGTTAAATAAGGATAAAACAGAGGTCATCATTTTAGTAACAAAAATGTAAGATTGAAAGATTTTGTTCAGCTTAAATCCAGATCTATAAAAACAAAAAGTCTGATAAGAAATCTTGGTGTCCAAATTGATGCCAATTGATCTTAAATTCAGGAGTCACGTTCAAGCCATAACTAAATCAGCCTATTTCTATTTGAAACAAATGTCCAGGCTCAGGGGCCTGATGTCCAGAGAAGACTGAAACACTCATTCATGCCTGGACATTTGTAGGATTGATTTTCATGTGCCGCTATTAGTTTGCAAGTGACACAAATGGCCTGGGACTGCAGTATTTTTTTTTAAATCTTGCAGTATCTTTTTAAAGAAACCTAAAATGTTTTTAAGATCTCTAAATACCAATCAGTTGGTAGTATCTCAAGTCAGGACTAAATAGGGTGAAGCAGCCTTTAATCATTTTGCAGCACAAAGATAGAACCAGCTTCCAGAGGAAATAAAATCTGTGGACACTCCCTAACACCTAACAGTTTCTGCTAGGGTTATTAAACAATAGACAAAGCAGATCGAGGCCACTTATGTGAATAATATAAAAGTATAAAAGTTTAATTATACTTGCAGCAACGGAGCACCAATACACACAATATGGTTGCATGAGGCAAATGCTCAGAGAGGCGGCCTCTCTGAGGGTCATTTATACATTCAGACCTCACAGTTGTGGTACGTTTTGTGTCATAGAATGGGGTGTGATCACAAACATTTCTACACATCTGCAGTCTGACTGCTCATGAGAACAGGTCATGGGTGTAAGCTTCACACAATCAGACAAATGCATTCAGTAGAGAACATACAGTATCTACTACATGGCTACGGCCTTCCTGTGACAAACATTAGCTATATTGGCTACAGCCTACCTGTAGCTAACATGAGCATTTGCTGCAGCAGACCTTTGCCACACCAGCATAACTTTAGTTCAAAGTGAGCTTTAACATAGCTCTGTTCTGAGTAAAGACACCAGGGGGGTGACTGTGGTTCAGTGGGTAGAGCGGTCATCTCTTAACTGGAGGGTTGGAGGTTCAAATCACGGTGTCTGTAGTCCACATGTCGAAGTGTCCTTGGGCAAGACGCTGAACCCCAAGTTGCCCCCGATGGTCAGAACCATCGGTGTGAGTTGGCGCCGCAGATGGCTGCCTCGGTTCTGTACTGGAAACACATTCCTTGTGTGTGTGTTTGTGTGTACTATATTCTTGGCCAAATAAAGGTGATTAATCTTAAACACTCGGCGGTGTGAGAGCTCCAGCTGAATTCTGGGAAGCCGCTGCAGCAACTATGCGGCTGTGCTCGGCAGACCGAAGCCTCTACAGCAATG